TCAGATCCCTGCAGAGACCCACCCCAGGGGAGACTGGGTGGCAGTGTCAACCCCCCACTCCCAGTCCCCATACCTGGCGTATGGGCTCTGGGATCCGGAACCTACAGCAGTGGTGGGTCAGACGCACAGCGACCTCCAGGCTTATTCTGTGGCCCACAGAGACATAGAGGGGCTTGGTGCTGCGGTCATGGCTCTTCAGCGCCTGTGGGTGGAGGGAGGTCAAGCATGGCTGGGGTGCTTTCCTGTGGAGCAGGACCAGTCTCAGGGCGGAGGTTCTGAGTATGTTTCCTGGGTGGCAGGAAAGAGCTCACAGGGGGCAGGCATCTCCAGGTGGCACACGGGGTGAGTGTAGCCAGAGGAGGACGTGACACAGTGTACCCTGGTTGGTGCAGGACATGCAAAGGACAGGGTCCGGCACACAAATACATGTGTGCAGGAGCTGCCTTGTGGCTAGTGGACACCGAGTCTGGACAGGGCACAGCCTTTGGGCCACTCACCATTCCCAGGACAGTCCCAGAATTGCCCATCAGAGGAAACGTGTCTCCCCCAGCCTGAAGGAGTACAATCTGGGAAACGGAGAAAAAATTATAAAAATATCCCTTTAAAAGGGTGAATAACAGGCTTGATATTGCACACCAGAGAGGCAGAGGAACAGACCTCTGTGAGTTCAAGGCCAAACTCAGCTACATATTGAGACCCTGTCTCAAAAACAAACAGCCAAATGGTAGTGGCACACACTTTTAATCCCAGCACTCGGAGTTAAGGAAGGCAGAGGCAGGTGGATCTCTGTGAGTTTGAGGCCAGCCTGGTCCACAAAGCAAGTTCCAGTACAATCAGGGCTACACAGAGAAACCCTGTCTGGAAAAACCAAAACCAAACAAACAAATTCCTAACAAAAGTGCAGGTGGGCTTGAGTATGCCGTCCTCAGGAACATCGTTTTCCTCCTCTGAGAAGGAGTCTCCTTTGGCCTGGAGCTCACCAAGGAGCCTCCCTTCTCTGCCTCTCTGGTCCTGGGATAACAAGCAGGGGCCACAGGCTCAGCACTCTGCATGTGGCTAACGGGAATCAATCTCAAGTGTCTGTTTAAGACAAGCACTTCACTGTCTGAGCCATCCCCCAACCCACCGTCCCTTCTGAAATGGCTGAAGGCCAGCGCCATTCTTACATGTGTGTGTCTGTGTGGGGTGTGTGTGTGCATGTGAGCGCAGGTGCCCGCAGAGGCATCAGACTGCCTGGAGCTGGAGGTACATGTGGTTGTCAGCTAAGCAACACAGGTGCTGGGGACCCAACTTTGGGGCCTCTGCAAGAGCAGTGCGTTTTGTTCTCTCTCTCTCTCTCTCTCTCTCTCTCTCTCTCTCTCTCTCTCTCTCTCTCTCTCTCTCTCTCTCAGATAGAGTTTCTCTGTGTATCCTTGGCTGTCCTGGAAATCACTTTGTAGACCGGGCTAGTCTCAAACTCACAGAGCTCTGCTTCCTGGTTGCCGGGGTTAAAGGAGTGCGCCACCATTGCCCAGCCCAAGCGGTACATATTTTTAACCACTGAGCCATCTCTCCAGTCCAGCAGTGAGAAGAGGGCCTCATTGTGTCTAGGAGTAACAAGTTCACACCTCAGAGGCAGCACTGAGTATGTTGTCAACTGTGCCGAGGTCATGGCATGAGGTTCCATGTACCCTAACTGGGGCTTAGAGAAGGGGTTGTGGTTTCCCAAGGCCCCAAAAAGGCAGGTGCCCCTGGGCACAGCAGTGTATGTCCAGGCTAAAGGTACCATCTGCTGGGTGCTTCCCTCCAGCTAGGGATCTGGCACAAGCCAACTCAGCCCTTTCCTTCAGGAGGGGAAGGATTGCTGATCCATCCAGTGATCAGGCTGCCATGAGCAGGACCTGGGCTTTCCCCACTACACCAGCTCAACTCTCTACACAGGCTCCTGAGAGCTAGGAGAGATGGCAGGTCTCTGCTCTTGTCACTTGCCCAGTGGGATAACATTATGTCAATGGTTTCCTCTGGGTGAGGAAGGCACATCCACAATGCCAGTTCTAGGGTGGGAAAATGGTGAAGTGGAGGCAGAGTAAGGGTCAGAGTCAGGCACCACAGCAAGCTGAGACTGCAGGCTGACTGTGAACACCATGGGAGGGGACAAGGTAGTGAGGATGAGATGGGAAACCTGGAAAGCCTGTCCCCAGGAACTGAAGCGCATGGCCCCGCATGAATGCTGCAATGGCAGAGGCAAGGAAGAAGGGGAGGCAAACATGGTGGGAGGCGCCCAGCAAGCTTCCGAGGGCTGTGAGCCACTGCTAGATGAACTGCCCATAGGCAGATGGAAGGAAGTGCCCAGGGAAAAGGGATCTTCTGGGCAAGAAAGCAGGGATGTGAGGACTGTGCTAGCAGACCAAGCTAGAGCTGAGTGCCCCCAGGAGGTGACCAAGACATGGGCACGATCCCCAGGGCTAACGGGCACACCGGTTGACTCCCAGGAATCCAAGGCCCTCCTCACCTTCTCCTTGTGCAGGGAATTGTTCTCTAGCCCGTCCACCTGCAGGAGCTTCTTTGCTACCCCAATGCAGGGCAGATCTGTAAGGACACCAAGGTGGCAGGCCACTCCAAAGCCTGCAAGGGACCAAGGAAGTGAGCTGGATGGTGGGGAGGAGACGGAGAACCAACCAGAATCTCTCATCCAGTCACACAGACTCTTGAGTGGAAGCCAAGCTGACCGGACTATGAATGAGGCTCTGTTCTGATCGCATGGGTGCTAAGGATGGGGTGGAGGAAGGCTCCTTCCTCCGACAGGTAACTATGGCACATTCTCCTAACCCTTCACCCTCTTCCATCTGCTGCTCTTCTCAGGCCTCTGTGCCTGTCCCCTATGGTCTGGGTCCTGTCAGGTGGCCTGGACAGCAGTGACTGGGGACATATACCCTGAATGGCTAGCTTAAGTGGCTAATCTGTGAGTCTACCCCTAAATAAGGGACCTTTATTATACTCCAGTCTGAGCTGGTGTGGGACTAGTTTATTGTAATCTCTAACAGTTGTTTGGCCCAGAATTGGTATCCATTAGCATGGATCTATCTTTTGGCTCTGGGTCCATGGTTTCTAGCCAGACCCCTATCATCCCTGCTGGTTAGGAAGGCAATCCCTTCCTCATGCCCCACTTGGGAGTGCTACTGTAACCTTCTTCAGGCCACAGTGCCCTGGCAAGGGCAGGGACAAAGCCTGACTGGCAGCTCAGGGCTGGTGTGGGAACGGAGCTAACCTGAGCTCAGTCCTGCGACTCTACGGTCACTAGGTCAACCTAGAAGAGGTACTGGGGATGGGCCCGTGTAGGGCACGGTGGAGGCAAGCAGGTGGGTGACAGCAGGGCTCTTCTGGGGGACACCCTACTCTCCCACGGCACTCTCTCTGACCCTCCTTCAGGAGGATTACCTCGTTGGTGAAGTACCCCATTTCCATCCACAAGAAGGACCTACAGAGTCACAGAGAGGTCAGTCAGCCAGGTTGTTGCCAGGGCAGCAAGAAGGGGAGACCACTACAGATGGCTCCTTCCCTCCTATGGGAGGGGTGGCCTGAGGGGACCTCCTCCTCCTCCTCCTCCTCCACCTCCTCCTCCTCCTCCTCCTCCTCCTCCACCTCCTCCTCCTCCTCCTCCACCTCCTCC